GCAGGAATGGAGTGAAGGAAACATTTTGCCCCCTTCCCCTTTTCTTCTTATTGCCATAATTATGAGCATCCCTAGTTGATTTAATGATATCCCACTGCTGTACAGGTTGGATGCTGCTTGTACAAATGCTTTGTGCCTGCTGGCTGTAGCAGGAGGTGTTACCCATAGCTCCCATCAGACCGGCTGAGGGTGTAACTAACACCCTGAATACAAACCATCAAATTAAAGAGAAGAATAAAAGTTCTGTGATGGAGTGTGGACTGGGTAAGGTTCTAGTGTGCATTGCTGGCCTTCCTGGGCATGTTTGGCCAGCTGGGGAGCAGCACCAAGGGCTCTGCTGCTGCTGTATGCTGGGTGTGATGCTATGCAAAGCACCAGCCAGCACGTTGGCCCAGCAGCACACGTGCTGTGCCAGGATAACCAAATCTGGCCTTGAAGTAGGAGCCTGAAATCAATGGCACATTCATTCCAGGTTGTGTGTGACAGCCCTGGACTATAAACCTAGACAGTATCAGCTCTTTTCCTCTAACCACTTGCTTGATTCCAAGCTAGATAAATCTTGGCTAAATTAAACACTGCTGGACTGTTACCATTCCTCTGTTGTTGTTTTTTAGCCTATTTTGTGCTGCAGGTGATCTATGCCCGACGGAAGCACAAGATCCCCCCTCCTGAGACAAGAGGTCACCCTGAATTTGAGCGGATCTTCAGAGCTCAGTAAGATTTTGACTTGTTTGTGGTGACTCCATCTAGATACGAATTGAGTGAAGTCTCTCTACCCTGAAGTTGCTCTCAAGTCAGCTTTTCACTTATTGCTGCTGGTACTAGATTTCTTTTTTTTAAAAAATGCATGCAGAGGTCTGAGTTTTGATTTGGAGCACTTTGCTCTGGCTGGGGTGTTTCTATCCATCCACAATAATCCTCCTCCTGGCATTGTGAGAGGCAGCCAAATTGCAAACTAGTGGCTGTATGGAAGAAGTGCTGAGTGTTAATGCATCGTAATAATTAAGTTTAATGTTAATGTTGGCTCCAAATTGTGAAAGTAGCTGGAACTATATTAATAGGCTAATATTTGCTTGTAAGTTTTTTCTGTTGAATTGAAGCAAAGGTGGAACCATCTATGAGGATGTTTTTACTTTTCCTGGTTTTCAACCCTTCGTGCTGTGAAACTCAGCACTTCTGGGCCCATCCCTAGGGCTGTTTCTTTTTGCTGTGTTCCTACAGAGAGAGCAGTGCTTCAGCTAAACTGGGAATGTTCAATCCCTTTGGCTTCCAGAAAGCACCAGATTCTGTCCTTCATCTCAAGTCAAGCTGTTTCTTAAGCAATTGAAAGGAAGTGGCAGGAGCTGGTTTGAAGGGTAGTTCAAGCACAGCCCCAAATCCTGAGCAAAGCAGCTGTGGTTCCTTGCCAGCCTGCAGGAACCGTTTGTGGAGTGACAGAAACACCTGCTGCAGCCCCTTGGCCATGCACAGGGACAGCCTGCATGGGAGGCACCAACCTTTGCTAGCTGGGTAGCTGTTGATGAGGCTTTTAATTAAATACTGGCCTGTTAATTAACTGAGCAATGCTGTGGGCTGCCGAGTGCAGGGAAGCCCTCCACTGTATTCTGTGGAGAAGGTGAGCTCAGGGAACTCAGGTTTGAGAAGGTATTTGGTCACTAAGGGCTTTTTCCTCTCTTTATGCTTTTCTCTGTGAAAAAAGGATACAAATGGAGAATTTGGTCTGATCTATTAAAAAAGAAGGGGAGAAAAGGTATTGATTCATTACTTGTGAAAACCCAGCAGCCTCCCCTTGCTAAGGTTCAAACTGCATTTGCAGTGTTAGGTTCCTCAGACTTTTTCCAGCTCCCAACCTGGCTCTGTTCCCTGAGGCTTGGTAGATTTTTGGCCAAATTTAGGCCAAAATGGAATGCTAAAATGTAGGAGAAATCAAGAAAAAAACCCATTGTCTCTAACAGCACAGCTCCCAGTGTCTCATCTTGGGGACAATCCGTATTGAAGGAAGAAAACCTGGCTGAAGATCTGATCACCTTTGTTGAATTTGATCTGGGAGAAGGCTCCCTCATGGAGCATGACTTGTGTGACACCCACATTTGGGCTGTGCTCACCCAAGGGGAAGAGAATGTTCTTTAAATAATGTCGAGGAGCCTCCACCCATGCAGCTTTTAAGCTGAGCTGCACTGGATGTCTGTGAAGGTGCTGTGTCTGAGGCCCAGGACAGAGCCTGTGGAGAGTCCAGCAAAGATGGATCTCCATCTTGGCCATGGCTTCTTGTTGCAGGGTCCATGTGAATGTGGGTGAGGTGAATGTTGTGCCTTGTTTTGGTGCTTTTCTTCTTTAAAATGCAGTTATTGGCTGTCCTTGGTTGCAGAAAAGGCTCTTTCTCCCCAGCCCAGCGATGCCTTTTACTGGCCCTTTCAGTTTGCTCTGGTGTCTCCAGCTCACCCCTGGCCTCAGGTGACCATTCTTTGATGTACAAGGACGTGGCTGTAACACTCATCTTTGGTTCTCACCAGGGTGAATTGCTCAGAGTACTTCCCAATCTTCCTTTCACTACTCTGGGTTGCTGGAATCTTCTTCCATCAAGGTAAGGGGGACAGAGAGGGAACCCCAACCCAAACCCCAAGCATGGTCAGCCCTGAAGGTCTCTGCTTTCCCCGTGCACCAGGGGAGGTGCAAGCTGAAGCTGAGCTGCAACATGATGTCCAGATCACTACTTGATAAGCAGTAACCACTGTCTAACAACTAGTTATCCACCATCCATCCCGTACCAAGCAGGTTTAGGGTGTTTGGCTGCTGCCACAGGGAAGATGTGAGGAAGGACCACAGCAGGGAATGTCGCACACCCAAGGCCCAGGGTGGCTTTGGAGGGGTAGAGAAGGAAGGAAGAAAACCCATTAAAACTCCCACAGTGTTTTAGAGCCAAGTCCACCTGCGTTTGGCTCCTGTGATCCTGTTCCCATGTGGGGAGGGGTGATGGAGCCAGGCTGCAGCTCTGGCAGCGGCCGGGCCCCCCGGCCCCTCAGGACTGGGCTCCCTCCCGCAGGTGTGGCCGCGCTCTGCGGGCTGCTCTACCTCTACACCCGCTTCAAGTACTTCCAGGGATACAGCGCGGCTGCACAGGAACGGTCAGTACCCAGCTGGGGCTGTGGGCATCCCAAACTATCCCAGGGGTGCAGGATGCATCCCCTGCAGCAAGTTTCCTTCCCGTGGGTGGGACTGAAGGCAGGTTGCCATTACCCCCTTCTCCTTCCCTCCTGCCCACACATGCTCGTGGCCCCACCAGACTTCCCCAGCACTCCGAGCAGGATGGGGGAGGCCAAGCCCTCACCAACGTGCTTCAATCCCCAGCTTGGCTGGTGCTGTCTGATGGTTTTTTTCTCCCCATGCAGGTTGGGGCCTCTCTATGCCAGTGCCCGGCTGCTCTGGCTGCTGCTGGGGCTGGCGGTGGCCGGGCTGCTGGCACATTTCCTGCTGCCCCACTCCTTGGCGTGGGGGGCTGTGCTGCCATGGCCCCTCCAGCTGCTGGCTGCCCACTGAGCAGCACCTCAGCTCTCCCAAATCCTGGGTGGAGGGGAGGGACTCGCAAGGCAGGAAGACAGAGAACCTCCCCAGCTCTGTGCCTTGAAGGGAGGTGGATGCTGGCACTTCTCTGCTCTTTAGAGATTATTTCCCTCCCACAAAACCAATGCTCCCCAAATCCTGTCTGTGCTCATGGGCTTCACTGCCAGGTTTTCTAACCCTGTCTTTTCTAAAACTTCTAACACTTTTGGCTCTGCCTTCCAGAGCACCAGTTGACCCATGCACCGGTACTGCTCCTCCTTACTGCTGTAATGATCTGTGTAGAAGGATCACACCAGGGATATACAAAAAAATAAATTCCTTTTCCCAGTGGAAATCATCTGTGATTGTCAAAGGTGCTTGGGAAGCAGGTGTGAGAAGCAGGGCAGCTCTAAGTGTGTTCCCCAGCATAAGTAATGCTTATGGGTGTACTGGGTATTGGTGAGTGCTGAGGAATGACTCTATTTTGGGTCCAGGGGCTCCTGTTGGTCCCCAGCCCCCTGGGAATCCCACCCATTCTGTGGTGGGGAGCAGGTGGATGGAGCCAGAGCAAGAGCCTCCCTGCCACGAGTAACTGTCACTGCCTCACCAAACGCTTAAATTTAGCTTTTATTACAGTGCACATTATTTTATATATATTTATATATAGAGATGTACTTGAAAAAAAATCAAATGTATCCAATAATAAAAAATACAGCACATTAAAGTAGTATAATGCATTCCAGTGTATAGCTGAAGAGACATTGGGATTTACACTAATCCCTACTATTTTTGAACTGGGCTACTTCTGCATTATTTTTTTTTCCTCCCCCCCCCCAAAATTCACATCAATCAATAACTGAAATTGTTATTTAAAAAAGATGGTTTCTGCACTCAATCTCAAGGCATGAAAACACTGGAGACTTCACCGTGAGTTAAGGGGCTGTGTTTGATGCTGGCAGGCACAGTGCGGCGTAGTTTATTGTTTTGTTTTCCCTGCCATACTCACAGCTCCAACCCCTTTGGGTTTGTTCCATCTTCACCCTTGCTTCATCCTCAGCTGTGGCCAGGACCGTTACCTGGGCAAAGGCAAGGCAGGCTTCGGCCCCTGGCCGGCTCAGTCCCAGCGTGCCTGCAGGGTCAGCTGGCAGGGCTCAAAGTGACCAAGCCTGCCCTGCTCTGTCCCCAAAGAAAGCCAAGACTTTGCCCTGTCCTGGGCTGAAGGTGCTTTTTGTCCCCACGCTTTACTAAAGCTCATCCCCACCCCGAACTGTTCCGTGTGGGCGCAGCAGCTGTGCACCCCGGAGGGGCTGAGGGCAGCAGAGCCGGCCCCTGCGTGGGGAAGTGGGGCTCATTTCTGCTCTTCTTCCAGAGAAGACGACGTCCTGGCCCCGCAGCAGCCGCTGGGGCTGGCGGTGCAGCCCGGCAGCCCGTGGGTGTGCAGGGCAGCCCCGTGTCCCGGCGCGGCCGTGGGGAGCAGGGGGCTGGAGGGGAGGGAGCAGGCCCGGGGATCCACACCTGTGGGCACCCTTCTGCACACCCATCACTCAGCTTTTTTTATGAAAATCTGAAATGAGAGAGGGCTGGGGTCAGAGAGAAGCTGGGACAGGCAACAAGAAAGGCCCTAGACATGAGCTGGTGAAGCCCAGCTTACCTCGCTCAAGATGATCCACACTGGGGAGTCAGTCTGGATGGAGAGCCTGATGGCCTCCAGGGGCCCGAAGGATGCGTCCACCTCGCCCTCTGCAACACCCTTGGAGAAGGAGCCTGGTGGGGAGAGCAGATGGGTGATGTGGGGATGGTCCCCTGGCAGCTGGGATTCCCTCGAGGGGACCACAAGCTGCCATGGCAGCCCCTGGCCACAGCTCCCCGATGTGAGGGGTCAAAAACCAGCAGCCTGGACATCACTATGGTGCAAAATACTACTCCTAAGGTAACAAAAAAAAACCAAAACAAAACAGCTCAACAAAACAAAATGGGGAGCACTTGGCTGCACATCACTGCTGTGTGGAACAGGCAGTGATGGCCTGATGGCAGCTCTGAGCTCTGTCCTGCAAGAGACAAATGGTTCAGGATCCATGCCGTGGAGGTGTCACCTCCAGAGAGCTAGCAAGACCTCAGCCTTTTGTTCTGTCCCATTTTTGGGTGTGATTGTTTAGGTGTTTGGTTTTTTTTTAAATGCAACTGGGATAAACCAGACAGCATGCAGAGGAACGCTAAAAATGGCAAGAACATATGCATGCCTGGGGATTTGTCTTATATTTGTATATTTAAAAACAAAACAATACAAGTCCTACCAGGGAAACCAGGGCTTTACCACACAGCAGCAGGTCCCTGTAGGCTGCAGTCACTTTTTCTTGTCCAAGAGCAGGACAAGCACTAAAAGAAGCTCAGGTGTCAGAAAACAAAGTCCAAGCTGCAAGTGGTGTGAGTACTGAGACAGGCTGTGGAGGGAGAGGGTGAAATCATCTACAGTGGAGGTTTTTAAGGCCAGATTAGGCAAATGGATAATCTGAATGATTTGGGCCTCACTCTAAGCAGAGGAAGGCAGAAATGTAGGGCTGAAAACTACCTGAAGTGGATACCTATCTAAAGAGGGGAGGGAGGGCAGTGGAAGAAAGGAAACAGCGATGATTAAATCCTGCTCCAACCAGGCTCCTGGCAAGAAAAACTTACTCTTTGCCAAGCAAGAAGCACTAAGGGTCTTGATTCACTGGGAGGTGAGGATATGGGCTGTGTTACCAAACCCAGTGGGCAGCTTATCACCCCACACTGTACCTATCTGGATGTAGCCATCCGTTGTCCTGCGGTATTTGACAACTGTTCCTCTTCCCTCCTGCAAGGCTTCTTTATCAGACTGCAGGCTCTGTGGGAAGGAGAGGTGCTCTGCACAATGCCAGTTGTAAGAGCCACTCAAAATCCCCAAGAAACAGTAGCAGCCCTGGCACTGTCCTTACCAGCAACCCTTGACATTCCATGCCTCCCCTCCAGGCACCTCGAGCCTCATGCCCCAAACCCAGAGGACATTTGCTGCCTCCATGCTGCTGCTTCCAGAGCACCAGACTGGCACCATCCCCCCTGCAGCCATCCCCTCCACCTGAGTGGCCCCTCTGCAGGCATGCAGGCTCCCACAGCAACTGCTCAGCACAGCATCCCTGGTCCTGAGCTGGTACCACACCAGGCGTGACCCCTGGGCTCCCAGCCAGCACATCTCTAAGGCACTTGCATCTTGTAAACATTTCTTCTGATGGTTTTAAGCAGTTCCCGTCTCTCAAACCTTCCCACTCCTCCCCCATCTCACCTCTCAATAAAACACTTACGTCAAACGGCAAAACCTCCACAGTTGTATTGAAGAGTTTGTCTTCTGGGTGCTCGATGTTCCCGCTGCGGAAGAAGAACCTGTGACAGAGATCAAAGCCATGGAAACCACACTGAGCGAGGAGGGACATGACAGCTTTCACCCAGCTGCACCATCAAACAGCTACCAGGCACCTTCCCACAAATCCCACTGGCACATGGTTGGGAAGGAGACCTCCTGCACCAGATTAAAGCCTGGATTACTCACAAGGGCAGGAAAGCAAAGGGCTCTGGTAAACATGGCCCCGCCAAAGCAGAGACAGGTTACCCTCCCCTGGAAGAGCACTGCTCCCTACTCCTGGGCACTCAAGCATGAGATGGGCAAGAAATTCAACATGAGCCAGAAGAGCAGAAGAAAAGTGTCTTCACAAGTTCCAGGCTGTCCCCACGTCCCCCCCTCCCCACAGACTCCCCCCGGGCACTGGCCTTTCGATGCGGATGGGTTTGAAGAATCTGAATCTGATGAAGTCACCAGCAGTGGGAGTGAAGGCCCAGAAGAAGTCCTCCCGCAGGTAAGCCTTCTCCAAGGTGAAGTGCTGGTAGGTTTTCAGGCTGGTGCTCACCTCTGCTGGAGGGTTGACGTGCTCTTTCCGCAGGGCCTGCTTGCCAAAGTCCTTGTCCTTGGTGGGTGCAAAGCAAAAAGGCAGAATAGGGTAATGAGCTGCTCTCACCCATGAGGAAGAAGGGTCCCAGCAACAAGGCACTGCAAATTAAAAGCTCTTTACTTGCACAGGATGCAAAGAAGGATGAGGTGCAGAAGAAAGAGGGATGGAAGTGGTCTGGGGAAAGCACCAGACAGGGCAATGAGTGGCTGGGTTCCAGGAGGACACAACTTTATTAGAGGCACCACTGCTCAGCACTTTGTTCTGGCACCAAAGAGCCCTTCATTGTCCAAGTGTTCCCCAACATGCTTCCCTCCCCCAGGAACGCCAGTCCTTATGCCTGAGGAGAAGGTGGCTGGGAGCTTAATAATAGCATAAAATGACTGATGTGCATGGCCCGGTGGGCACTGCACTGCCATACAAAGTGGATCACACCATCCATTCACCCAGGGATTGGACAGACACAGGACTAAGCACAGCCCAGGGGTACGTGTCTGTGTGTCCTGCACATACAGCTGTGGGAAGTTTGATTTTGCTGATATATAAAACCATAAAAACATTTTAAGCTCTTACACTACAAGCTCTAGTCCACATATATGCAAATTCCAGGAATAAGGAAGGGGTGAGAAGGAAGTCAGGCCAACCCAGGAGTCATCTCTTCAGGGTTTTGCAGTAGATGCTTTGAAACCACTTGCCTGGACCATGGTTTGGCACTCAGGATGGGTGGCAAGGACCAGTACCAAGACAAAAGCTTCCAGTGACTCTTGGTACATGTCACTGCCATGCTGAGAAGTAGGAGCTACATGAGCTCACTGTAATTCAGAATAAAACACAACCACTGCATAGAAATCCAGCTGCCACTGTCCCACCAGTTGCTGTCACTGATGTCCCCACCCCAAAATCAAGCAGTTCCTGGGTGCCTGCAGGCCAGGCCTGGCAGAAAGGCTGTCTTAGACAGCTGGTACCCACCTTCAGCTTCTGTATCTTCCCAGCCAAGGAGGAGTGGGTTCCCACATGCTGGAAGAGCGAGGGCTTGAAGCGGATCCTCAGGTTTGCCTTCTGCCTGTCGCAGTGTTTCTGAAACGAAACAATCCCCCAGAGCCCCGTGCTGAAACCTCCAGGGTCAGCTGTGACCCACCAGAGGAATGGACAAGGGCCCGAGGAGTGATCAACATCTCTGCCTCTGTCAACATCCCTAAGTCTTTCTGTGTTATTTTGGCTTCCATTTGGCAAGCAGGCTTCTAACTGCACTCTGGAGGAACCTGACTGTGACTCTTGGCAGGCCACCCCCCAGGCTCTGCTGGTCAGCCAGAGTGCCCAGGTTTAAGTGCCAAATGTCTCCTTGCCAAGCACAGCTTAGCAAATGCTGAGCAAATCTCCTCTGAGTGCTGTCAGATAGGGACAGCCAGAGAATTTGCTTTCTTTTTGCCTTGGCTTATCAGGAAAGTCCCTTTCCTACAACTCAGAGCTCAGGATCACCGGTGTCTGAAGGTACAGTGAGTCCTGGGATGATTCAGAGCCGAAGGGAAGAGGTAACAATCACAGGCTCTTTCCTGACAGAGTTATCATTTTGTTGGCAGATGTTGTTAGGCAGATGTGTGGCATGTGCCACTGCTGGAGCTCTTTGGCTGCTTCACACCCATCCCACCATGTAAATAAACTTGGAGATGCAACTCCAATCCAGCCAGTGATTTTCCATGGGGTGGAGGGAGAGAGAGATGATGGAGAAGAAAGGACAAAGGGGAAAAATACTGAGAATTCAGAGACAAGAACTCCCATCTTAAAAACCTTTTATCTCAGTCTAGGGGGAGCAGGACAAAAACACAGGGTTGAAAACTGGAGGGAGAGGGTATTTGTTTTCCAACTGTTTTTTTCCAAGAAATGAAACACACACACACCCCTACCACCATCTACTGTTGCAACCTCCCACCCAAGAGCAACCCTGCGGAGATCCCGCTGCAGGGCAGGGCAAAGCCACACCCAGCCCATGGGCTGCCCACAGGCCATCCTGCAGGGAGCTGGGGAAGTCCAGGCATGACCCCTGTGAGCTACAGAGGAGATAATCCCCTGATCCAGCTCACATTACATTAGAAAATTAAAACTAGCCATGCTAATGGGAGAGACCCTGCTCACTGCCAGTAACCTCAGATGCAATCGCATCAGGTCTGATCTCACTCTGGATGGGGAGAGAGAGGAGGAGGAAGGGGAAGAGAGGAAGCTACAGCATCTCCTGGTTTCTCTTCCTCCCCCTTTCCCCTTCTGCTAAAGAAGTATTTGCTGAAATCAACGTTGTCTCAGTCGAGCCAGGATTGGGAATGGCTCAGCTAGTGGTAACAAGGTCATCTTTTCAACAGTTCTACACCAGGTAAATCTAAAATTAGTTAAAAAAGGAAGAGTAGAATATATCCAGAGCAGGCAAAGCACTTACCAAAAGCCCAGGTCAAACAAACTTTCAATCAAAAAGAAAAACCTTCCCTGCTACCAATTTGATTCTGCACAGTGGGATTTACCAGGGAAAGTCATGTTTGAAAGGGCACTGTGCAGAGTTAATCATGCAAACAGTGGGGGGAAAGGAGCCAGAAATCCACACAGAAAGTAGGTTAATTTTTAAAAAGGCAACACATTTAAGAGGTTTGCAGTTTCTCCTGGGAAAACTTTGGCTCTCCAGGTAGAAGAAGATAAGTGAAGCAAAGCTAAGGAGAGGATGATCCTGCGCAGTGGGATCTACATTTAATCAATGCTCAAGCTGCAGATTTTAAAGCTAGGGTGGGGGGGCACAGACAGCAGCATCATTCCCAGCTCCATCCCAGCATCATACTACTTCAGCTTCCCCCACAGCTGTGAGGATCCTGGGGGCTGCCAGGCAGGTCTGGGGACTGCTCTGCCACACCTGAACACATGGTTTGAAGTGCCAGGACGACACAATGGGTGTCATCTAGGACTGGCTTGGCTGCACACTGGGGACTAGAGACAATGTCACAGACTCAGGCCAAATTAAACCACATCCTTGCCCCAGTGCTGCAGTGCCCCGAGGATGCCCACTTCCTCCCCCAACACATAAATAGAGTATTTATCCCCAGCGTGACCTCTTGCTCTGGCATTTGCCACCAAAAAGTAGTTGTGGCCATGAGGTGTCTCCTAAGCAACTGGCTTCAAGCTCTGCACAGGGACTCGGCTGCTCATTCTCTGCCGGGGGAGGAGAGCGGACGAGCACACGAGTAAATACAATATGTTCAGAGAGGAGATGGAGGAGTATCTGGTGGTGAGCTCATCTTACAGTTGCTGTCACACACCCTCCTGCTCTGCCATTCCCACTCTCTTTAGGGCACAGGGGCTCCCGTGCTGCCACCTGCAAGGTTTCGTGCGGACGTGGCTCTGCAAACGAGATGGCAGCAGGAAAATGGAGCCCATTTCACCACTCTGCACCCTCCTGGAAACCCCGACAAGAGCTTTGTGTGCTCTGGCTTCATTTTGGCACACTCTGCATGGCGGGCTGGTTCTTGGGTCATCTGGGGTGAACTCTCTGGGCAGCCTCCATGTGTGCTCCAGGCAGGCAGGGCACACGAGCCTGGAGCCAAAGGGTTATTCTAGGATTACAGTCAGTGAGCAGAGAATGGCTTCAGGGAGAGAAGCATGCTGGGATGAAAAACAACACAGAAGAATGGGGAAAGGCTCCCCTCCTCAAGGACTGGAGGACGAATACCCTGTTAGTGCTTAGATGCAGAAATAATGCTTTTTCTGACAGCTGCAGACTATAAAAGCCTGAACTCCCAGGTCTTTGCTTACACCAGCTGCAAGGACACCCTGCAGCACACTCCACAGGGACAGCACGGCTCAGTGCAAAGGCAGTTAGCACCAGAGCTTACAGAAAAGATCCTCTGGAGACACAGGCCAAGTGTACATTTGCACCCAAACAAAAAGTTTCCCTTCAACAGAGGTTGTTACATACTGCATCTTTCTCAGGGTTGCAGACTTTCACCCAAAGGATGTGATCCAGCAGCCAGTCAATGGGTTTGTCCTTATAGAACATCAAGATGAACTCCACAATCAAGCTCAGATCCAGAGACTTGAACATTTTTCCTACAGCACAAATAAAAGGAGAAGAGAGAGAATGCAGCTTCAGCGTGAAATGGCTGAGAATCAGAGCTGGGAAGAAAAAAAATTGGGAGACTGGGCTGTGAAGGCTGGAAGTGTCTCTCTCTCTAAGTAAAGGTAATAGCATGCAGCTCTGCTTCATGTACCAGTACTGCTGCCACTGCTCATACAGTTCCAGATTTAATATTCATTGCAAAATTAAGAGCATTAGTGTCTCACAGGCCACAACAGCATCAGAAGGTCTAAAACTCTTCCATTCAGCAGGGAGAAATAAGGATGAAAAACATTCATCCAGCTGCAGGACAGACCATTTCCTGCCCTGAAAACGAAAAGTTTTAAGCCAGTCAAACCAGTATCCAAAATAATAGATCAAGCTGCTACTGAAACCATGTCCTGCAGTTCCCAAAATAGTTCTATGCTGATGTAAACTTCCTTTTGCACACTATTAGGCAAGTTCAGATCCCATCCAGCCTAAAAGCTACTGGTCACATCTAAGTAGGCTGTTGGCTGGGCCACCGACGAGGTTTATTTTTATTAAAAGTGAGTATCAGCAGTACCAGCTGTGAAGATCTTTCTCCCCTGTGCAAACACAAGGGTCATTGCAAAAATAGGGAGAGATCAAGTCCAAGTATTTTACCATCTCTAGGAGACAACTTGTTGGACACAGAGCATAAGTGCTTACAAGAATCAGCAGGCATTTGTGCCTGTGCCTGCAGGGACTGGGGTGAGTGGGGGGAGAACGTTACCAATAAACCCCAGCTGAGAAAACTCCAGGATCATCCACTCCTCAGAGGGCTGTTGCAAGGCAAAGTTCTTCATCGTGCTGAGATAGTTTGGTTTGGCCACAATATCATCCTCCAGCTGCAAGAGGAAAGGACACTCAGTGCCTGTGACCCATCCAGGTTCCAGTAACAGCCTCTCTGTGCACAGCAATCACGCCATAGCCTGCAGGAAAGTTTTGGCACACACCTAGTTTATTTTGGAAGATGCTCCAAGCAGATTTTTCTCACCCAATCTAACAGGTAAACAAATCAAGGATTCCTGCCCCCCCTCCAGGCAGGAGGTCTCCAAGTTTAAAGCATCTCAGAAACCCAGTTTTTTAACTTACCTGGTTAAAACTCACTCCCACTGCTACATCACACAACTGGATGTGCTCCTTGCCTTGTCCCGGCTGGGTACAAGCCCCTACGAACTCACAGGTACAGACATGCCCCCCCTGCCCCCAGCACCAGACCCACCTGCACGTAATAGATGCCTTTGGACTGGGCATACATCATTAAAAAGCAGTAGTCGAGGTTCTGCTTTGTCCTCCACCTGCAAGACACAAACATGATGGGAGCACTGGTCTCTCCTGGGATGCCAGGCTGCTTGGGGGAGCCAAGAGGGGCCAAATTTATGCCAGGAAGGTGCTCTTGGAGGAGGAGAAAGTATCTGGTCTCTCTCTTTTAGACTCAAACTGGCCAGCTAAGAGTTACTGGAAAACTGAAGGACTTAAACATTAACTCCTGGGTTAAAATGACCCTATTGGCTGGTAATGGCAACACCACAGCACAATGCACGGCCTGCAAAGCTGGTGTCAGTTCCTACCCACCCCATCACGTCCTTCCAGCTCCTGGAGAAAAGCAAGTTGAAGGGCTTTCCCTGGTGGAGTTGAGGGGAGATGCTGCAGTTACTTAATGTTTTTAAGCTCATTGATTCTTACCTGACTCTTTCCTTGGGGTCCCCAAAGGATTCCCGCAGGTGGGAGAAATCAGGATAGAAATGTGGAGATGGGGAAATTACTTCTAGGAGACCTGAGTGTATTTCCTTAGGGAATCTAAGGAAGAAAAGCAGCAGTAAACAAATACCTTCATGTCTGACACACCATCCTAGACCAAATCACTGGGTAAACACTGAGCCACAGAACCAAACAAAAAAAATTCAGCCTCTAAGATAAAACTCCCCCCAGCAGCTGGTGCACTTCCAGGCCTCACCAAAGGACACCAGCAGAGACTGTTGCAGAGTGTTCAAGCTGTTCTCTCCCTCCCACAGTCTCTAATAGCCCCATGTTGGTGTGCTCCCCACCCCCAGCATCCCTCCTGCACACACACACTGGCTGCTGATGGCACCTCAGGCTGTCAACACAGAACTTCTTTGCAGGTGACCCCTTGGTGCTGCACACCGGTTGCCCCAACTATCAGAGGGGGAAAAAGACTCTTGCCACCACAGGAGAAGCTGAACTATTTTTCCCAGTCCCTCAGATCACTCAAGTGTCTAACCTCTGCTCTCTGCAGTCCTACAAAGCTGGTTTGTTGAAAAAGCCGAGGACAAGAACCGAGCTGCTCACTGTGGTTTGCAGAGGAGGTCTGACCTCAGATGGGGCAGAGTCCTAGCAGGTGCTTTAAAGACAACCACACAGACATCTCATGGTCTGCGAGGGCATCTCAGGACAGCTGAGATAAAGGACCACAGGACACCAAAGGGGAAAACACTGAGAAACCAGCAGGACCCACTTCTGTGTAAACATTCCACAACTTGTTCCAAAAGGTGCTGCTCAATATTAATTGCACTTAGAAAAAACACAGGTCAGCTTTAAAGACCCACTGTGAGCACAGTGTACTTTCTACACAATTAAATGGACCTGCAGACTGGGACATCAAAGAAGGAACTTTTTGGCATTATTGGTATTTAGAGATTCTCCAAATGTATAAGTAATTAAAAGCTGTTTTACAGAGCTTATGTTACGCATTTCTGGTAAGTTATTTAAAACACTGCACTGTGCTGGAGTTAGTATATAATGCAGTTAAGAATCCTTTAAAGAGCCAAACTCAGAAAAAAAACAACACGTCACCCATCTGAAAAATACGTAGCTACAACAGCCTTGCAAGCAATAGCCAGAGATTACTGTAATTGCAAGAGATAAGTGGGAAAAAGTTATTTTTATGTTGCCCTTTTTGAGAACATTTGGTGCAAGGTTGATTTCCTTTGTTTGTGCAGAGCCAGGAGGACGGGAGATGGGGCAGAGTGAGACAAAGCAGTGGGAATGCCAAAAACTTCTCACTTATTTTTCCCTTCCTAATTCCTTTCTTGGGACTGGCAAGATTTCCAGCTAACATTTTCGACTCTTCCTCTCCTCAGCCAGCCATGAAGCCCAAGCTTCTCACTGAGCTGACAAAACTTGTACTGAAGCAGCAGCAGCTTTCTCCCTTCTGCAATATGAGCTCAGCCTGCCCTGGCCCCACATCACCTCAATTCAATTTGGAAGAAAAATAATTTCAGTGGATCAGGAAGGGGCAGGAGGCACTGGAGAGGGGGACAGCGAGAAATCAAATAATTAAGTCAATTAAAGTTTCAGGCCCTTTTACGCAGAAGCACTCGCTGCAGTGCCCAGTAATTTCATCAGGATCCATCGGACAATCAGTCCATTATCCCCCGGTAAGTGTGTCCTCCTGCCAGCAGGCAGAAGGAGGGGAGCTCTGCCAGCTCCTGCACAGCAAGATGGAGGGCTCTGTTTCAGCTCTTCTGCAAGTGCCCAGGAACACACAACCCTCCCCACAGACATCCCAGCCCCTCTCCCATCATTGGCTCGGGGACATGGGGTGCCTGGAGGATGTGCTGACCTTCTGCATCTCTTTCTTACTGCAGTCCTTGGGAAAGATGCAATCTCAGGAGCTGGATGGGAGTCACAGCCTCTTTTCTTACCACCTTTTTCTTTTGCATCCAAGCTCTGGACTGGCTTATGGTTAATAATCTGTCACCAGCTTCTGCCTAAACAGCCACAGATGAAGCCGCAAAAGCCACTAAGGCTCCAGGACATAAATAGCAGCTAGTGTGAGAGACAAATGTAACTAGTGCCTAGGACAAGGGAAAAACAAACAGGCTGGAGCAGGAAGAAAAATGGATCGTAGATTTTAAAGCAAAGTAAGGCAGAGGCATTTGGGTGTGCTTACCACACTGCCCAGTTGCTCTGACTCTGAAGAGCAGGTAGAGGGCTGCACTAGACACAAAAACAACTGCCAGGATGGCTGAAAATCTAAATAAATCCTCTTCTTGCAATGCCACAGGACAGAGAGAGCAAAATGAGACAGCACAACAGTGTGTGTGAAATACAGCAAACACAAAGCAGCCTAATGGAAGCTGCACATGGGATGCATTTTAGAACAAGCACAAAGTGGAAGTGGCAATAGCAAAGACAGCCCAGAGTTTAAGAACAGAGAAAAAAACCCAGACAGCAAAAAAAAAAATACAAAGGGAAGCAGAAAAGTGTGTATCTTCTCCTTAATTAAGCCGTTCCCTGGCCTCTCTACAGACACAGCCCGTGCTGCTCTAGTCATTTGGAAGTGCTTACAGGTTTTTGATGCTGTCTGCCACGCCGGCTGTGTACTGCGGGTCCGTCTGGAAACAAAACACAGGCAGGGTTAGATCCTTCACCCTCAGCCTCTGCCCCCACGGCTCAGAAATCAACTTCAACATCCCCCCAGAGGTGATAGCAGCAGCTTTGTGCCATCCCCCTCTCTCCTTTTATCAAATTTAACCTCTCCCCCCATGCTGATGGGTCTCCTAGGAGCCCTTCTTCACGGCCAGCGTTAACCAAAGGCATCAAAAGGACCCCAAGGGACTCAAGACTCTGCACACCTTCCCCACCCTGGCACTTCTGCCCCTGGCAGCACAAAGTGTTAACTTCTGGGCTATTTTTTTTCCTCTATACATGCTGGCTTTCATCCAAACAAATACTCTTGGCAGAAAAAGATCTCCACCCCTCTTGTGAAAAAGAGGGGTCTATTTATAAGCACACATTTTTTCATTTCAGGCTCATTTTGGTGCTCTTCTTCCCAAAACAACAGCTTCTTCCCACAATCAACCTGGCAACCTGTAAGAGTTGGGAGGCAAAGGTCAGCATGCTGCTCAACGCTATCTGCAGGCAAGATAAGTGCAAACACGGGGACAGGCACCAGACAGAAACCATCTGCTCAGTGACCAGGAAAACAAAATCCAAGAACAAAGGGCAGGAGACCTAAGAGCAAAGTCCGTGGCTGTTTCCTGGTGCTGGCACTGTTTGGGGAGGCTGGGCAGATCTGCAGCGTTGCAGAAGCCGGGACCGGCTGCCGCTGCGCTCGGCGCCAGGCGAGGTGAGAAGTGAGATGCTGGGGATGTGTGTCACAAGCTGAGGACAGCAATTCCACGCTGGAATGGTGACAAGGGAGGGTCTTCTCTAAAGGAAAACGATTCCATTTCCCAAACAGGGCTCAGGCTCCCTGTGCTGGACTGATTTCTTAGCTCAGTGCTGCCAAGAAAGCAGCAACGGGAAAAACAAAGGCAGGAAAGATGCTCCTGGCTTTGGGAACAAACAGGCAGCTCTGCTCCGAGCTCCTGCCACCAAAACAGCAGGTTGGTGACAGCTGAGCTGGCCAGCTCGCCCTGGGGCTCCCCTCTGCCAGCTGAGGAGCCCCTGGCTCTCCCAGGCAGCCCACCTGCCATGAGTGACACCTGCAGAAAGGACATTCAGTTGCTCCACTTGTCCTGAGTCTCCACGTTACCCAGTGTCTGCTCCAGGTTCTTACCACCTCTTCCTTATTTACTCCTTATCCTGTACCTGGAGAGCCCTAACAAACAATGCCATGTGCTGGTACATTGAGAAGCACTTTGGGAAGAGGCAGAGCAGGCACAGCAGTGGTTGACACTACATGGAAGGAGGATGTTGTGTAGCTGCAAGAGCAAGCTTGGCAAGTAGGACAATAACGATAGTGACCTGCAACATCTACCATCACTGTTATCAGCCTGAACTTCATGGTATCAGAATAAATTTATTTGTTGTTCACTTCCCTCATCACAGGTACACATGGAAATTCAGGTGCTGCCATCACAGCGTGCACCCAATTTTAAAGTCAACTAAAGAAAAAAACATTACTGCAGTCCTAAACAGAAGAAGGTTTTGGCCAGGTTGCTTAAAACTTCTCCTGCTTTAACTCACCCACTGTGAAAACAGCCACCAAACTTGTTCTGGCTAAAAAGGAAAAGACAGCCAGAATCAAACCTCATTCCAGGCACTTGGTGCTGCACTCATCCACACACACCTTCTCCTTGTATGAAATTCCAGCCAGGGACCCAAAAGCCAAATTCTACTAAAAAAATCAAATTACGGGTAAACAGGCACCAAACTCAGACATTTATCTTTGTTCTGCTCCCAGTAACATATCATGGAGGTTTATCTTTCTCCCCAGATTTCTGGAAATTAAGACAAATACACTTCAGGCTCAAGAAAATAATCCTAAGGGGAAAATCATGGAGAAAAATAACCATCTAAACCCAGAGATACAAGCAGCTCTTGCAGGTGAATGTATCAAAGCTTTTTAGCCCTTGGATTCAGCAACTGATTCTGGGTTCCAGACACCAGTACAAAGAGGTTTATTAGTCTCAGCCCCAAATCAGCAGGCTTTTAGGTTTGGATAGGGGGTTAGTGCTGTCTAACAGGTACCCAAAGAAACGAAGCTGCTTCAGGAGCAGGTCTGAGAGGTCCCCAGACATGGCCATGGGGCTGGTCCAGCACATGTTAGGAACAACCACTCAAGCACCCTTCAAATCCATGATTGTTTAGACCAGAAAGATAAAAGCCAATGCTGCACTGGCAGCAGCCCATGTCTGCCTGCCCACATCCTGACCCTCTCTGGCCCAGCTGGTGTTTCATTTGGGGCAGGATGTACCTAATGACCTTGGTCAGGTCCAGCCCAAGGCTGAGCTGCTCTGCCCCAGCAAGCAGCAGAGCTGGCCCCCAGGTGGGCAGCTGTCCTGTCTGGCTCTGAGCCCGGCAGGGAAAGGGATGGGGGCCAGGGACACAGGGTAAACAGGCAAAGTCTTACCTCAGCAATGAGGACAACGATGACAGAGTCCTCCTTCTCCTGCTGCGTGAGCTCTGAGATGAGGGAGTTGAGGGTGTCAGTGAGGTAGGAATGCACCTCCCGCTTCACGCTGGGAATTCCCATCACAACGGACACTGCCCAGGGCCAAGGAGAGACTTTAGAGAGGGGGCTGTGCTGGGACAAGATGCTTTGCTCTGCTCCCACAGCTGCCTTGAGGTTCACTGGCTTGGTGCCACATTCCATCATTATAAACCAGTAGTGATCAGCAGGTTGGTAGGTGCCTGGGACATGTAGGGTTCCCTTTCTCCTCTCCCCAGCCCAGTTCTGACCAGCAGCACCCCACTGTGCCAGGCTGGCACAGCGCTCTGTGTACTCAGACTCTTTCTTTTCTCCCCCACATCTGAAGGGGGCCTACAGGAAAGCTGGGGAGGGACTTTTTACAAGGACATGTAGTGAGAAGACAAGGGTTAATGGATTAAAACTTGAAAAGGGGAGATTTAGATTAAACATTAGGAGGATATTCTTCACTATAGGGGTGGTGAGACTGGAACAGGTTGCCCAGAGAAGGTGTGGAGGCTCCATCCCTGGAAGTGCTCAAGGCCAGGTTCATGAGGCTCTAAGTAACCTGGTCTAATGGGAGGTGTCCCTGCCCATGCAGGGAGGCTGGATCTAAATGATCTTTAAGGCCCCTTCCAACACAAACTATTCTATGATTCTAAGGAAACACCTGGACCCGCCCACCTCCTCCCCGTCCCTGTCTCCTTAGGGCCTTTTCAGTCTCTGAACAGCAACTTCAAGACCACCCTTTTCTCCAGACCCATGGCCAGAAGCACCTCAGTTTCTAAGGGACAAGTCAGGTCTTTGGCTTTAGGTTGAGATTTGGGAGCATGGGGGAATCATCTAGTACCCAAAGTCCTACTCTAGGTGGGATTTATCTCTTAAGATGAGTTAGAGTCTCCATGAAGCACCCTGCAAACTGTGCATTCATCTGACCACCTTCCAGGCAAAGCCTAGAGCACTCTGGAGATGGAAAGCAGCAAAAAACATCTGGCAGAAGCACCGAGAACATCTGAGTGCCAGTCAGGAGCACAGACAACACTCCCCCATGGGCTCGCAGACGTGACATGGCTTCCCCACCCCGTGTGCCATGACACCAAGGAAGCTTGCATGATGCATGCAGCCGTTCCTCCAGTCCTGCTCACCTCCGTACCTCAGCCAGGCCCGGAGGAAAGGGGAAGGACATCAAGGTGAGGAAGAGCACCAGAAGCAGCACTAATTCCCATTTACCTCCAGTGCGCCCCTGTCCCACATGCACGGCTGGCTGCAGACTGGTCTCCTTTGACAGCAAATGTGGCAAATGATGGAAGATGGTGGGGAGGTGCAGCACATTCTTGTTGGTGATATTCCACAGTTTTAACTTGGTTTCGTCTTAAAAAGGAAAAGGGAATCAATTGCAAGGAATGGTAGGTAGGAAGAGACTGCAAGGCAAAAAGCCTTTTTAGAGCAGCCTGGCCACCTGAGACTACTGCTGGGTTATAAAAAAAAATCAGGCCAACTTTTAACATGCCACCACAAACCCAATTAAAGTTCAG